TGCTGTTCAATATCTAAATGCTCATCCATCAGTTAGTTGCCTTCATTCCTTAGTATTATTTGCCCTAACACTGATAGTGCTTTTAATCTTCTGAGTGTTTTGCTATCCCTATGCTTGAACCACTGAGGCCAAGATCCCCCCTTGCCCTATGCAGATACGGGGGCATGCCCCCCCCGTGCCCTCCCAAGGTGTGTGCAGTAGCAGGAGCCACCATCCCCTTACAACCTGGCCCCCAGAAGAGCTGTGGCTCTATCCCATGCTCTGCCCTGGCTCCCACTGCTGCGCACACCCTGAGAGGGCATGGGGAGGAAGGGAGACCCCTAGATCTGTGTGTGGGGTGGGCTGCAGCTGCAGGCTGGAGCTAGCACTGGACTGTTTTTGATAGGGGCTGAGCCAGGCTGCACTCAGGGTGGGTGGTGACGCTGGGAGAGGGGCTTGGGGGGGGGCTACAGCAAATTTTGGGGTGGCTGCAGCACCTCCTGTTGCCCCCTCCCAGCACCACTGATGCCCACCCTGAGCACAGCCCAGCCCAGCCCAGCCCCTGCCAGGAACAGCCCAGTGCAGCCCCAGCCCGCAGCAGCATCCTGCCCTGCCCCATGAAGATCTGGGGGCCACATGCCCCCCATGCCCTCTTGGGGTGCATGCAGAGGTGGGGGCCACCCCCTGCATGGCTCAGTCCGACGCCCTGCCCCAAGTGGGCAGCCCCTGCCCCAACCCTGCTCCCTCCTGCACTGCTGGGACCTCAATCTGCCCCCTCCCCTGGCCCCTTCCCTCACAACGTACCAGCCAGACCCAGCTGTTCTCCTGGCTGCCTGTGTGCTGTGCGGCAGCTGTGTGCATGCACTGCATTTATTGGCCACATTAGGTCTGACTACCCCCTAGGACCTTTTTAAGTACCCCTAGGAGTATGTGTACTCCCGGTTGACAACCACTTCTCTAGGGTGCCTTGAGCTCCTTTCAAGGATGTTGTAGGGTGCCACGCACTGTTCAATGTGCAAACATGATTCACAAGATAAACCCAGAGATTTGAAATTGGAATCCATAGTATTAAAAACATTCTGACCTGTTGCGGTCTTTCTGAGTTCTTTGCAAGAGAAGAATTCTTTGTTACATTTATGTAGTCAAAAAATGAGCAAAAACTAAGAGCTGGCATTTTCCAAGTGCCTTTAGTTTAAGAAGGTAGGCGATGAGTCTGAAAAGGATAAGGACCGCTGACCCAGGGACATGTTTCTGTTGGCACTGGAAAGTACATCCTGCCCACTTGCTCCTATTCTGCACATGCCAAGGCAGGCAACGTAGTTGTCTTAGAGCAGGGGTTGACAATCTTTTAGCAACTGTGGCTGAATTAATGCATCTTGATCTGAAAGCTGAATTAATTATCTGACTTAATCTGATCTGAATCTTGATCACTGCTTGTGATCTGGCAACTGTCAGTACTTGCCCCCACCACTGAATTGCTGCCATTGTCCTGGCTTCATGTGCTGGACAGAATTGGTTTGTTGGTTGCTGACCCTTGCCTTAGAGAGTAGCTCGGCATATACTAATAAGCACGTTGGAGGTAGAGACCCTGACTGCAGTGCTGGGGCATGCACTTAAACTTCTTCTAAGGTGGCTGTGGTGCTTCATTTCTAGGATTTAGCACAAGTGGGTAGGGCAAATGCAGTGTTCCCTGGCATGGCACAGGATTTACATACACACTAAATGTAGGGCTGGGGTGCATGCTCTCTAATGCTACTGTGTTGCCTCCTTCCTGAGTGTTGGTACATGTGAAGAGTAGGCAGGGTCTGCTTTAAAGTGACACTTCCAGACCTGACACAGAGGCAGTGTAGATCTGCCCTAACAGGTGATCAGTAAGGATTCTGGTCTGCCCAACTCCCATTATATTCAAGACATCAGAAGGTACTGAATGTATTTGTATATTGGAACAAGCAGCATCTAAAGAGCCCATTCAAGAGTCAGGACCATATAATACCAGACACTGTATAAACATGTTGGAAAGGGCCCATCCCTATGCTAAAGAATTCTCTGATGTGCTGAGCTGGCTGTAGGAACAGTAGACATCCTGTACACCTGTAAACTTAAATATTCCATTTTTCACCAGTATGTGTATATATATACTAGTTCTTATGAACTGCTGAAGCTCTTCTATTTAACTGTAGAAGAGTCATGCTTTTCTCATTTCCAGCTTAAGATTGGCTCTTTAGATTCTGCTGCATGGCTCTTTTTTATAACAAAGAAAAATGTGGGAACTGCTAAGCAATACTGTACACAGACATTTACTGTACATGGGATCTGCTGAAAAGTGCCGTTCTTCAGTGAAGAGTCTCTTCTGCAAGGAAATGAATAAGGCAATGTGTCATAATGAAGGGTTCTTTAACCACCCAAGTAATCTCCCACCTACAAGGCTTTTGCTTCGTAATCTCTGTTGCACGCTAAAGTCCTGAGACCACTTCTCTCTAGTCTAGAGAAGGTTTTTTAAAAGGTAACCAAGGTTTTTGTGAGTCTTGTGAAAGGCTAGTTATTCTACATGCACCTCACTGCAAGAGGCAGCCTTTATAAAAATAGCTAGTCTAAGAGTCATACAACAACATGCTGCTTGAATGGGGTTTGTCTGGGCCACTGCCAGAGGAATTGCTCACAAATAGCTGTGTGCTGTCCTCTAAAATGTGGAATGTGGTGCAGTATGGTCATGTTTGTAAAGCACATTGTACTCCTTGAAGGAAAAAGGCTATGTAAGTGCAACATGATACTGAAAACTAGAAGACAAAGAGCTCCTCAAGTTAACAGTAGTCTAAGCAACCATCATTTGCTCCATGATACAGAAAGAGCACAGTGAGTGATGCTGGGTGGGTGCATATGTCTGTCTGTGTTGCACCCTATCATAAAAACTACTGGGAGAGGTTCTAAGGCCTATCTTCTGCAGAAGGGTCAAACTTGAAAGTAATGGCACCTTCTAGCTATAGAGCTGATGGATAAAATGCTTTCCTTACACAAGGGACTGATCTTGTGACTCAAGGGACATATGTGTCAACACATTTTATGTTGGATTTTGACAAATTCTTCACATTCTTTAATTTTTGCTGATTTCTGTAACTGTGCCTGCTAGCTCAGCTACTGGATAGGTTTTGTTTAGGAGGTTTGCTACAGCATGCTTTAGTTTTCTGATATTAGTTGTCAGATGTAGCTGACTAGGATACAGTTAGAGGGCATTTTTGCTAGAGGCTATCAGGCAACTGTTGTATAACATGTGGTGCCTTTGCCACTTGGAAAGACCAGATCTAAGCATGAGCAAATAATGCACTTCTGCAACTGATTTGGTTCATCAGTAGTAAGTATAGTGCCCTGTCTAACCAAAAGAGGATGTAGCCAGTGAGAATAGCAAGAAACTGCCTGGGGGTGGGTGGGAACTTTCCTGATGGTGGGAAATGCAAGACTGTTAAGTCATACCTGCATTCCTTGGCAGCAATGCGCAAGGTCAGCAGGACAGGCAGCGGAGCAAACTCTACAGTATTGATTATGCAGGTGTTACTGAAAACAGAATTCAGCTCACAGTGTTTAAGCCCAAACAATGGGGTACACAACATGTGCTCTACAAAGAAATAAAGAAGGGAAGGATGTGGACTATGTGACGAACTCTACTGCAGCATCATATAAGATCAAGCCTATCAAGTGTGGGCAGCCATACAGAAGCAGGCAGAAACACCTGTCTGTATCAAGTGTACTATTGTGTCCATGTGCTGTACAAAACGTGGATGATACTAGGAAACAACATGGATTCCAGTGCCTTCCAAATAGCTGTTTACTAGCTATATTCAAATGCACAGAGCCCTAGCTATCTAATGTCTTATTGCTCTGCTAGAATGTGGTGGCCTCCAGAGTAGAAATCAAGGAAACTGGCTAGAGGTATCTCAAATTTATTTAAGGGGATAAATTCCCCTATTTAAAGGGATATATTCATATTCACGTTTCCCAAGAACATCTGAAGGAAAAAGTCCTAATAAGGTAATTCAGCATTTGTGCAAATGGACACAAAAAGGTGGATTATAAACATATTTGATGGTAAATAGAATATCTTACTCAATACCGTACTTGCTTTGCTCTTGCTCCCTTTAAAGGGACAGAGTTTGCAGAACCCATGTAAATTCCTTCTTTCAATAGATGGCACAAGCTCCAGCAGTCTGGAAACTATTTCCACAAAAAGAGGAAACATTTTAGAATGAACAGATGATGGTAATCTGGTGAGGCTGAAAATGCTGCTACTAGAAGCAAAGAGATTGCTGAGAGAAATGTACAACAAATGTAACAGAATGTTGCCACCTTTGCAGCTTTCTGGAGTCTGCCAGTGAACTTGAAGTTACGGAAAGGTCAAGGCATAGTATTAGACATTTTTCAGCAACTCTATGGGAAAGTAAGCAAATAAACCAAAATATTTTGGAGCAAAAATGGGAGTAGTTACGGTATGTTCCTGAAATATGTGCATCTTAATGCAGTAGGACAATGCAAATGATTTTCTTTGGAGTGTTAAATCGATGTAAATGGATCTGTTTCTGTCTGGTATAAGGCCACATGACTGACTGCTGGGCTTCTGTTTCAGCTGCATAGCTGTGGTTGCAGTTTCAGATCACTCAGTGAGTGGAGATCTAATCAAGCTGACCCTCACGCATGAGAAAATATGGCCCTCTGTGTACGTGAGAAGGCAGTACTCCCTAAGCAAAAAACGATGGAAGCATTCCAACGCACAGATTTAATATCTCCCTTCAGCTGTTGTGATTGCAAGCCAAGGCGAACCCCCTGGCAGACAGAAACAGAACTTCCAAGTGAACACATTCACACAGTCACAACCTGTTCAGCTGAGAAAATGACCGTGTGCCCTTCCCCATCATTCACAAAAAAGTCATCATTGTGAGTACTACGTTGCATTCTTTTGTACTTCAATGACAATTGGTAAAATTAGGTGACATTCTCTTTAAGTTTATGGGAAATGGCAATTTTTTCCTTTGTTCAACCACCTGCTTGCCCTCCTTATCTGGTATGTATGTTTCTATTTTTTCTAATATTTCCATCTAAATAAATAATAGCCCTTATGCATTGAATCTGAGCCAGTCCCACTATTAAATAAGTTGGTTAAAAGTGCTAGATTATGCTTACTCTACCCAAATAGAGCATGTGTGAGAAGATTTTGAAGTGATAAAAAGGAAACATAGATCAAAGGACTGGTTTGTCTGAATTGCACATTAATGCAGGCTTATACAGGTAATTTCTTAGAAGAATATCCAGACTCACACTTTCATTTCAGATATGAAAATCTATCTTAAAATATCAACAATTACAATTGTAAAACAATGCAAAATATTAAAATAACAAAGGTAACCTCAGATGTGAAAATTACACTTATGCACAATGTAATTTTTTTGCCTCATCCTGGTATAATTTCTGCATGTGCTTTAAGGTAAACCATGTCAAGAATTGAACATAAGTAAGAAACATGAAATTAATGTCTGAAGTTAAGGATGTGAGTCTTTGCAGGTTCTGGTTTTAAAGTATTACCTATTATAATGCAATAAAAAAACTGTAACACCATGTGTTCCTTCTTAACATGAGTTCATAGGCTGTACAAAGCCTTTTGTATTATTATTCCTCTGTCCTCTTCCGTAGTCTCAACTGAACTTAATTTTTGCTGTGTAGTGCAAACTGGAAGATGGGATGGAGTGTACTCCTAACAAGTTTGCAGATGACATCAGGCTGGGAGGAGTAATAGATATGCTGGGAGGTGGGGCTAGGATTCAGAGAGATCTAGACAACTTAGAGAATTGGATCAAAAGAAAACACATGAAGTTCACTAAGGACAAGTGGAAAGTCCTGCACTTAGGACCGAACAATCCCATGCACCAGTACTGACTGGGGACTGACTGGCTAAGCAGCAGGTTTGCAGAAAAGGACCTGGCAGTTACAGTGGATGTTAAGCTGAATATGAGCCAACAGTGTGCTCTTGTTGCAAAGAAGGCTAACACCTGGGGTGGGGGTGCGAAACGGGCCCTATTCAATTTGGAGTTGGATTCAGCATGAATCGGGGACAGTGATTCAATTAGTTGATTTGGATCACTGTCCCCCATTCAATTTGGCTGAATCCGAATCTGAAGATTCAGTGCTGATTCAGAGAATCAGTGATTCAGACATAGACATAGCTTTATTTGTTTTTTCTACATACCTCGACATACCAGGCGCAGGTCATGAATGCTGTGATACTAGGGCAGATGGAGTGCCCCACAGGAGTGCAGGGGGCCCCTGTGTGCTCAGCAGCGAGCCCAGAAGTGGACCAGAAGTACTTTGAGTCCACTTCTGGGTCTGCTGGGGAGTGTGCTGGGGGGGTGCCCCTATGGCTCAGCAGTCAGCCATGTGGGGACCCTGGTTGCCCCACCAGACCCAGAAGGCACCAGTCACTGAGCTGAGGGAGGTGGGGGCCCCCCCCCCCCGCACTCTCCCCAGTGGACTCACTGGAAGTGCTTCTGATCCACTTCTGGGTCTGCTGACAAGTGTGCAGGGGAGCCCCCACACTCCATGTGCCCCAGCATCGTAGCATTCATGAGCCACCTGCTACCAGGAGGTATGTAGAAAAAATATTTAAAGCTGTGTCTATGTCCAAATCACTGAATCTCTCTGAATCGATTCAGAGGGTTCCGATTCGATTTGGAGAGGTTAAAGGGTCTCCTGATTCAATTCAGATTTTGAGATTTGGCCACCAATGAAGGAGGATGAAGCTAGACTTCTCAGTGGTGGCAAATGGCAGAACAAAGAGCAATGGTCTCAATTTGCAGCAAGGAAAGTTTAGGTTAGATATCAGGAGAAACATTCTCACCAGGAGATAGTAGAGCACTGGAACAGGTTACCCAGAGAGGCTGTGAAATCTCTATCCTTGGAGGTTTTTGAGACCTGTGTAGACAAGGCCGTGAGTGGGATGATATAGTTGGGATGATCCTGCTTTGAGTGGGGGGGGGAGGGAATAGAGTAGTTGACCTCCTGATGTCCCTTCCCACTCTAATTTTCTATGGTTCTATGATTCTGTGTACCATTAATTTATTATCATTTCCCTCAGCATTTAGTCTGGTGTCCTATCTTCTGTTTGGCTTCATTGATTCAGAACAGGGCCCAAAATAGACCTTGACCAGTCC